AAAAAAAAAAAAAAAAAAAGAAGACTTCTTGTTAGAAACTGCACGCTAGAAGACAACAAAGAGAACTCTTTAAAGTAACGGAAGGAAAAAAGTCATCCCAGAATTCTTCACACAGAAAAATAAAGACTTTTATATTAAAAAACTAAGAAAACGTGTCACTGAAAACTTTCACCATGAGAAATGTGAAAGGAAGCTATTCAGGCAGAAGAAAATGGTACCAGATGGAAATCTGGATGTCTACATAAAGGAGTACAGTGAGCAGAATTGACAAATGTGTGGGTATATGTAATCAACTTTTTTTTTGTTTGTTTGTTTTGTTTCTTGTTTTTTGTTTTTTTTGAGTTGGAGTCTCATTCTGTCACCCAGACTGGAGTGCAGTGACCGCTCCCGGCCTCCGCAGCCTCGACCAGCTGGGCTCTGGTGATCCTTTCGTCTCAGCCTTCCAAGTACCTGGAACTACAGGTGCGCGCTACCACACCCGGCTAATTTTTTGATTTGTTGTGGAGATGAGGTCTCACCAAGTTGGCCAGGCGGGTCTCGAACCCGCAGGCTCAGGCAATCCACTCACCTCAGCTTCCCAGGGTGTGGGATTACAGGCTGAGCCGCCGAGCCCGGCTTGTAATCAACTTTTGTTCTTGATTAAACATTTAAAGAGAACTGCTTAGAGTACAATAAAGCAATGCACTGTGGGGTCCAAGGCATGTGTAGAGGTGAAATGTGTGATAATAGCACACAAGCAGGGATGGAAGTAGAGTGTCCTGTTTTGAGGTTCTCACAGTATATGTGAGTTGGCATGTTATTATTTGAAGGCAGGCTGTGATAAAGTAAAGATGTTTATTGTAAGTCTTGGAATTAGTTCCAGATCTCACACAGGAATTGTACAAGATGAGCCTAGACTATCTTATCACCCCAGATAGCCAGTGGGAAACTGTGAACCCGTGAAACTGCTTTTATCAATTAACAAAAGAATAATGTGCTGAGAAACCCTCTTTTCTCAAATCATAACCGTCAGAAACACTGTATTTGAAATCATATCAGCAAGAATGAAACATTATATTTTTCCCTGAGGAACCAAGTCTTTCGTTACCAAGCTCCCATCATCAGGCCGGAAGTTCTGGGAACACTCAGATGAGTTGCTGTAGAAAATAAAGAAGCTATAATTGTTTCGTACACCAAAATTTCAGTGTGTTCACTGTCGCTCCCTCGACCTGATATTATTACCCACTTGCTGTTGTTATTGTAGTTTAAGAAATAAGTAAATTGACACTCTGAGCAGCTGAGCTTCTTGTTGGGGGTCACAGGGTTAGAAAATGGAGGGGCAGGTTTTAACCTGGGTCCTGGACTTTCCTCTTTACTTCAGAGAGTGGTGTTTCAGGGCTTCGGGCAGACACAAGGACTGGGTCAGCTTGTTTAAGAAAAGCACACGTTCTGACTCTGTGGACAGGTTGGTCCACAGCTTTGGGGTGGGCAGAAGCTTCTACCAGATGAGCAGAAGTGGGGGGACAGGCAGATCACGCCGGCGTTGGTGGGATCACGCCCGTCTTGGCTCAAGCCTTCCCATGGTTCCCTCACTTGGCGTTCAAGTCGCATGGAGACCTGGATCTTGAACACTTCCTCATCTTCCCCCCTGCCATTCCCCTCAGCCCTCCTCTGCTTTGTGCCTGTTCCCTGAAGGTACCAGGCTCAGTCCCACATCTGGGCCCTTGCATAAGCAGACCTCTCTGCCTGGGACTCCTCCTACTCCTTCCCTTTCTGTTTTCTACTCACTTCTCAGGACTTAGGGTATCCCTCCAGGAGGACCCTCCTGACCCTCAGGCTGGGCTGGACCCGTGGGAACCCAGCCCCCTTGGCTTCTCTCTGTCACAACCATGTCACCCTGGGTTGTAAGTGCCAAGTAAATGCCCCCCCCCCCCCCCCCCTCCGGCAAGCTCCCTCCTCACGGTGCTGTTTATCTCTGTGGTCTTAGCTCCCAGCAGAGTCTGGCACAAAGACAGCAACAGTAAATAAGAGCTTTTCTCTCCCATCACGGCTGCTGTGGCTGTGGTCTTCACAAAGCCTAGAGCATTCTGGGGACTATTTTGCGAAAGAGCTACGATTGCCTGTCCTCTCTCCTGCTTCTCTTGCCCACCCCTTCCACCTTCTCCACACCCAGGCCACCCACACACGCTCCCTGGCGCGGAGCAGGTGGAGGAGGCATGGAGTGGCTGAGCGAGACACGCTGGATACTGTCGTTGGCACCGAACGCCTGGCACTTACCGGGCGTGCCCTCTTCCTGGCTCCCGAGGGCATCCCGCAGCCCGACCTCCCCGCCCCTGGGCTTCCCCGGCCCGGGCTCCGCTCACGCTCCGCCCCTTTCCCCGAGCAGGTCCAGGTTACCTGGCGCGAGCGCGGACAGGAGCAGCAGCGCAGCCAAAGTCAGCCAGAGGAGCTTCATGGCCGGAGAGGGCCCAGGCGAAGGAGCCTCAAGTCCGCGGGAACGGCAGCAGGACTAACGGGAGGCGGGGAGGGCCAGGCCTCGGGCTCGCACTCCCTCTGACCAGCCCACGGAGTCCACAGTGGGGAGCCACAGCTCCGAGCCGACACGCCTCCCCTCGTCATTTGGGTCGGCGGGGAGCGCCCAGCCAGCAAGTCGCGAGGCCCGAGACTGAGCACGTGTCGGTCCACCCAGCTCCAACCCGCGTGGGCCCGGCGCCCGCCAGGGGGCGCCACGGACAAGGACTCCAGAAGGCGGGGAGGCCTCGACGGCCGGGGAGCCGGGCGGAGGTTCCCGGCCGAGGAGTGTCTGTGCGAGGGCGCACGCTGGTGTTGCCGTGAGAAACTCGCCGTAACTGGGGCAAGCAGTGGGAGGAAAAGACTCCGAAGTATCCCTCTAAGAAGTGCCAGCAGCCCCAGCCGCCTGCCGGGTTCTGACCAGGCGCTTGACTCGCTCACTGGGTCATTCTTCTGGGCTCCAGGCCGTGCCCCCTCCCCAAAGACCCAGGAATCAGCCCGTCGGGTCCCTCTTCTTTACCAGGGTCTGAAAACGCACTCTCTTTCCTTTAGTTCCCCAGGGTGGCATCGGTATCCTGTGGTTACTGCTTCCTCAGGGTCCTCTTTCTGCTCTTCCGACCGTCCAGCAACGTGTAACCAGTTCCCTCTGTTAAATATTCTCCGTTTGGAATACTTAGGCAGCTTCTCTTTTCTGACTGGATTCTGCCTGATACAGAGGTCAAGTGTATAACATCATACATCGGGTTTACAAAATACAATAACAGTGGGAGCCATAGGGACTGAAAACGTATTAATGGGGTTAAAATAGAAAGGTAAGGGAAAGGGTGAGGTGAGCAAGTGTAAATTCGTTCTAAAACCTCCATGATAAAGAGAGAGGAAGAGACATTGGCTGGGAAGAGACTCCGTGTCAAAAGCCTGAAACCCACTGTGGGGGTGTTCATGTTTGTTAAAGAGACTCACTTTGTTCAAGCAGGTACTAAAGGCTCAATCAAGGGAGCAGAACCGCTGTCAGTGACATGGAATAAGGAATTTATTGAAAGGATTGGACACTGTTAAATTGTGAAAGGAGCTGGGAAAGCAAAGCTCTAAACAGAATCAGAGAAAAGTCACTCACTAACCCTGGTGTGGCTGAAGGAGCCCGGGAAGCTGAGCATGCCCAGACCTGCAGCAGGGCCGCTAAGGAAGCTGGTGCAGAAGTCTCTGGAAGGTTACTGGCCCTTCGAGGCCACTGCCTGCTTTTTGAGTTCACAGAGAAATGTTGAACAGTGACCATGGGCCCTGTGGTCTCTTTAGTCAGCAGCGTTGGCAGTTGGGAAGAAGAGTTGCTACAGGACAGGGAAGAGGGAGGACAGACCCAACCCTGCAGACACCCCTGTGTCTGCTCCTCACCACCCGTGACCCATGACGACCTTCAGAGTACACCCCACGGCTTCTCTTCCACCTCCCAAATCTCATAACGTTAGAACAATGTTTGTGGCAAATCCTAACTCAGTTTTTTCTATGCAGGGAAGGGAGTTCTGAAATGTAATATTATCCTAGCTAGGATTGTATGAGTATCTGCCAGGCTGTGTTACAAAACATCCTAAAATGCAGTTTTTTAAGTTGGGGCTGGAGGGTGCGGCAGGTGGGATACCCGTTCTCTCTTAGGGAGAATGTATCCATCGGATTCTTTTCTCCCTGAAAGAAGAGATCTCCTACTGAGTAAGATGCCTGGACACATGGAGAATTTTTGTATTGAGGGCAGAAGATATTCAGTAACTAGTCCTGACTCTGCTATTAACTTTCCATGTGGCCTCGGAAGAATCACTTTTTTTTTTTCAATCTCTTCAGTCAAGGTTTTGGAGCAGATAATGCAGTGTAGATCAATAGAGCCATCATATTTTATGTTTCTACAGATGTTAAAAGGGCGCTGAAAGTGAAAGAATGCAGCAGTCTGAGTTTTCACTACCAAAGTAAGGCAGGGTAATTGAATTTTCACAGACGGGTTCTCTGGGCTGTCCTCATCAGCTCCCAAGTCTCTAAAACATCACCGGTCTCTTCCCTTGACTCCAACTCCCAGATACGCTGTGTGATTCTTGCAAAATTATAGCCCATCCCTAGGCCTGCTCCAGGCGTAGCCAATGTATTAATTTTGCTCTCGTTTTGGAGCCTTTGTTATCTTCCTGAGAATCTTGGAGTAGGTGTAAATGCAAAGGGCTGCCTTAGTTACAGGGGACAAGAGAGATGGCACAGGAAATGAGGACAGCTTTGTCATGTGGGCACCTCCAGGCACCTCTCAGACATCATGACCTGTCCACGGTGAGTTGGAAGGGCCAATTTCAACTTCACCAGGAGTCAAAAAAAAAAAAAGCAAATTAAAGGGACAGTGAGGGATCATTTCTTCAATCAAATTGGCAAAACTATTATTATATTGATAATCCCAGAGTTTTCTAGGATGCAGGGAAAGAGCGATACTTTGTGGAAATTCAAACTGGTGCAACTGTTTTGGAGGATGTTTGCCAATACCCAAATCCTCAAAACACACATGCCCTGCAATCCAGCAGCTTCACTTCTAAGACCTCACACTGGTCATCCATGTGCTCTATAGCAATGTCCCTTTCTACTACTGGTGGCTCCTTGATTTTCCTTTGGGGTGCTGGATCGCCTTCACTCTAAGCTCAAGATGTTGAGGTAAGGCCTTTGATCTTGCTTTTGGAGTTTCCATTCTCCACTGAGCTTCCAGACTCATTAAAAAATATAAGTGAGATAACACTGACTCATCTGATGGCTATTCTTTGCACCTAGGATAAATCCCAGCTATTTCCTGTGTCCTGCATGATCTGCTTCTGCATACCTCTTTGACCTCATCTCATACCAATTTCTTCTCTCCCATCACTCTTGGTCATGCTGGCCTTCTTTCTTTCCTTTGGACACACTAAACTTGTTCTTACCCCAGGGCATTTGGGAATGGCAGTAGCGGGATACTTCTGGGGTGGGGGGCGGGAACACAACATCAATAAGGGTACCTGATCTCAAATCAGGCAAAGTGGGACCAAAGAGAGGCCCAAACTTTACCTGCACGATGTCCACTTGTATACCTAATCCTGAATCGTGCCCCACATCTTTAAAATAAAAGAAAATTAAAAAGAATAAACCTAAACAAATAATGAAAACATAAAATAATAACAATGATTTAAGCATTTAAAAAAACAGAACCAAGTTGACAACAACAACATATAAGTAGAAAGGAGGTCTTCACATTATGGAGGAGAAAGAATACCTATGTAATGAATTTTTCAGATTTTTTCTTTAGGTCTAGAATTTGTATTTGGTTCCTTTTTTTTTTCTTCTTGAGTTGGAGTCTCACTCTGTCGCCCAGATTGGAGTGCAGTGGCATGCTCCCGGCCACCTCAAGCCTCGACTTTGACTGGCTGGGCTCCGGCGATCCTTCTGCCTCAGCCTTCCAAGTAGCTGGAACTACAGGCGCCTGCTACCACGTCCAGCTAATTTTTGATTTATTGTAGAGATGAGGTCTCGCCAAGTTGCCAGGGTGGGTCTCAAACCCACGGGCTCAGGCAATCTACTTGCCTCGGCCTCCCAAAGTGCTGGAATTACAGGCTGAGCCACCGAGTCTGGCCTGGTTCCTTTTTGTTTTTAAAATGGTTTCTCTTTCTCTGTTGAGATTTTGCTCTTTTAAAAAAAATTTTAAATATGTGGGGTACAATTCAGGATTAGGTATACAAACGTTGATTATGCAGGTACCCATGTTGTTGAGGTGTGCCCCCTTAGCAGTTTCCCTCAATTGCCAATCCCTTTCTTATAGTATTAGGATAATTGTTTGAGGTCCGCTTATAAGTGAGAACATATGGTACTCTGGTCTTTGTTTCTGTGACAGATCACTGAGTATGATCGAGGCTCTAAATCCATCCAAGTTGCTGCGAAGTCTATATGTTTGTCCTTGTTTATGGCTGCATATTATTCCATTGTGTTTATGTAACACATTTTAAAAATCCAGTCCAGCTTCAATGGGCAGCATGATTGGTTCCATGTTTTTGCTATTGTGAATAGGGCTGCAGCAAACACACGTGTGCAGGTATGTTTTTTGTAGAATGATTTGGTATATTCCCAATAGAGGAATTGCTGGGTCATATGTAAGGCCAATTTCCCTGTTCTTTCAGAAACCGCCACACTGTCTTCCAAAGAGGTTGCACTAGTTTGCATTTCACCAGCAGTGTAGAAGTGTTCCTTTTTCTTCGCATCCTCACCAGCATCTGGTTTTATTAATGATGGCCATTCTTACTGGGGTGAGGTGGTATCTCAATGTGGTTTTGATTTGCATTTCTCTGATGATGAGAGAGGTTGAGCACTTTTTCATGTGTCTGTTGGCTGCCCGTGTATCTTCTTTTGAGAAGTGTCTATTCGTGTCTTTTGCCCACTTTTTAAAGG